TTACAACCAGCGTTACTTCTCGCCCAATGGCTGACAAGCGAGTCTCACAGTTGGGACAACTCTGACCAGGAAAACCCAGAGAAGGGCAAATACATGGTTCAGACTAGAGACCAACAACCCCGATTCTTGTCATSACCGGTTCAAGACTGCGTTTTGGCCGTGTATTTTTGTTCATGAGAACAAGGGGTCAATTCGCAGGCTTTGAATCAACAGACATTGTGTCAAGCAAAGGACCTGCAAGACAAAGAGTATATGTATCCATAACAGATGCAAGGAGAAACAGCGCGCAATTGAGACTATGTATCTGATCTACAGTCTAAGTGAGCACCCAGTGGCTTTGCTCGGAATACCAATCGAGTGGGAGTATGAACGTGATCTATTGTATAGAGTCCTTACCGGAAAGCTTGTCAAGGGACTGAAGCAAATAAACCGTGACGAGGTTTTGCAAACATTAAGTTTGCTGAGTAGGATTACAAAAGTTCGTTGGTGGACGAGGGCCTGGACATTCCAGGAAGACTATCGAGGAAGGCCAGATATGACACTACTCATCCGACATCCTCAATTCTTAGAAGCAAAGAAACAGGACAATAGGATTTTCTCAGATGTTCCTAATGAACTCTGTATCAAAGCCGTCTGCTTTAGCAAAGCCAGTACCGAATTTTGCCGTGCGGTCCAGGACGAATCAACACAACGGGGCGACGTATAACATCATACGAAACATATCATGGGAGTGGAGGGGAAATATACACTCTTATTAGACAGAACAATGCCTATGACTCCAAAGGTCATTGCTGACATCCAAGGACAAAGACTACGCGTCGCATAATGCGAACGTGAACGTCTCGAATATCCTTGAGGACTCTCCATTGACGCTTGTAATCCTGGCGTAGGAGGTCGTTGCCTACGGCGAGTCGATCGCCAACGTCGGAGGCGAACCGCCAGGTACTCCAGTCAAACTTCCCTGGTAGCCACCAGCCAAAACCGTGCGACGTAGACGTCTTGTTCAGACCTAGCCCTTCTCGCTCTACCTTGACGATCCGCGCTTCCCCACCCTCAACTCTCACGCGCTGCGTCGACGTCCATCTATCTCCCCAGAGTACCGATTCTTTCGCGATGAGGGAACAATCGTAGCTGAACCGAAGTCCACGAAGCGCTGCTGCCATAACAACAGTCTCGGGAAGTGAATATTTCAAGCCGGTCTGCGATTTTACATATTCAAATAGGAAACAATATCGATTGACGCTAGCACGGAGGAAACGGGCCATCGTTTGAGAAGAAACGGAGAAGAATGGATGGTCCCTCTCTTCATCTTCTTCATCATCGCCTGACCCATCCTGCGGGGGGCTAGATGAGAACAGACCAGTGATACGCCGTAGAAGGGCCAATGATACCCTGTCTTCTGCACGTATACCATATGTGAATGGGTGATGTGTTGATTCTTCATGATGTATCTCATCATCGTCATCCTGGTCGACAGCAGGAACGTTGCGATGAATACGGAGCTTGCTCAGACGGTAGGCACATTGTACTCGGGACTGGTGGGCACGTGCCCCTCGTGTGGAGTTACGTTGATCTCTGAGATACGATGGGTCTAGCGCCATGCTCTCGGTGTGGCGGTTCTGGAACGGGTACTGCTTAGCTGCATCGAAGGGAACTTTGATGAGGTTGTAGAACTGGCTATACACGAGACCGTTTCGAAGCTCCCAGCTTGATGAACTAGGAGTGATGGTCATGTCTCTCGCATCGCGAAGAGTGACAAACGGATAGGTCGTCCTGCGGATTGGCGGAGCCTGACGTTTGCCCGATTCGTCCTTGCAAGCGTCTTCCTCACGATGATACAGCCGATTTTGGATCCGGCTCCACTGTAGCCGGCGACGCCAGAGCCTATCCATGCAGCAACGGCGCCAGATAAGCACGCGTCCATGTGGTCCTGTATCGGCCGGCGTCATCTGGCGGCCGATGTCAATGTAAGTGACATCCGGATCAATGTACGCCTCGTCAACCGCAGAATTCCAGTGGTGCTGCCACTCCGCGAGTGCCGACTCGAACGTGGGCCGCATCCATGTCAGTTTGGTGTTTTTAGCAGCCATGTAGAGTCGCAACCCTGCATATTCAGGCCAGAGAGCAGCCCTGGAATGTATCTCCTCCCATAAAGCTGCGAGGTAGCGGGACTGAAGCGTGACGTAGAAGTGCTTGCGTCGTGACCCCGGCTGTGCGGCCGGACCGTCTCGTCTTTTCGCTCCGGTAAACCCATCCAGTTCTTCTTCCATATCGGCCTCCTCTTCCTCCGCCACCGCCAGAGCTGCTAACGCTTCCCGAGGCGCACTGCAGTCCGAAGACGCGATGGCATGTGTCTTTGGGATATACTGGAGTATGTTATTGTCATCGACAACAGCTTGTATGGCGGGCAGCATCACCTCCTCGTACCAGTGCACGAAGTTCTTTTTGGGAATACAGGTCTGGCTGTAAGGATCGGAGAGCTTGCCGGAGAAAAGGGCAGGGAAGAAGGCCCAGATGAACGTATCCGCAAGGCCAATGACACGTCCAAGGCAGTAGTTGGGGATGGTATGGAGAGGCTGGGTTGTCACTGTGCCATCTTGCTCACGCGTACCTGGGATTTCCATGCTCAGATGGACATTATCGACTAGGTTGAGCGTGACATGCGACTGAGTGTACCACTGAATCCCCAGCCGGGCCACGCCAAGGGACGTGGGGAAGCTGCAAAGACTATCGATGTCGTAGGACGACGATATCCTGTCATCTTCCAGACGTCGAGCGCTATGGTTAGAATGCATGCAGAGATAGGGCGGATCTTGTTCACCCTCTACCAAGCCTTCCATGGCGGCTTTGCAGGGTCCGCCATAGCGTGTTAGGCCAGCGTCCGGTGATGAGGACTCCCGCGTGCCGGACCTTAAGAGATCCTTCGCTGGGTCAAGGACGCAAGGTAGTGGCCCGTTTGTGCCATCCTCCCTAGTTACACCCTCTAACCTCTTTGCAATATCTAATAGAGAAGAGCAGTTTGGAGAGGCGCCTCGCTTTGTAGTTGCATCCGCCAACTGGGAGGAGTGGTCCTCTTCATGTTGCCGGGACGTACATCCTACCGGTCTGCTCCACTCTTGGAACAGGAGCAGCGCAGGGTCAGCCGGCTCTGAGATGGTAACTGCATCGTTACTACTACTCCTCCTGCTGCCGATGGAGGTGGCACTGTGATTTGTTGTTGCGCCCAAATATTGCGATATCACCTCGATCCAGTACGATATAGCACCAACCTCTCGCAAGTCTGGGTCTTGCATCTCGGACAAATACGGCTCCTGCTGTGTCCAGTCGAGTAGCCCGGGCTGATCTTCTATCATCAAATCCTCACTATAATAATGCTCTCGTGCGGTCAGAAATCGTCGGGCACATTCCACGACTATGACACCGCATGTCCAGCCATTTACTTGTCGAGTGATTGGCACATCGCAAATGGATGCGGGCGCAGAGTCCGGAAGTACCGAGTCGTGGATGTCTCGGAGCGCAGAATAGTAGCAGTTATCACGACTTCCAAGTGAATCGCAGAAGAAGAAATGCGGCCGTGCTGGCTGGTAGATGGCGAGTGACCAGTGACCGACCCCCTCCTCGATACCTGGACGAAAGATCGACAGTATTGTGGCATCATGCCGTCTTATGTCTTCGATCTCGGCCTGGCTCAGCTGGATAGAGTTGTTCTGAGGCTCACCAAGATGGATGGCGCGTGCGAGCGTCGTGACGTCCCGGCGGCCGCTCAGCTCAATGGCCAGCCGCATACCGCAGAGAACGTCATCAGTGGTAAGGTAGTCTTCCCGTTCCAGCCGACGACGGAGGTTCCACGAGTAGAGCCCATGATGAATCCATTCTACTCCAAACCCTCTTGGTAATGAATTGGAGGATGGCGATGTGGCACTAGAACGATCGACAAAGCCTGAGTGTTCCTGCGTGAACCTTTGCACGCCCGTGGCTGATGGTAGAAGAAATCCGTTGCAGTCATAAGCTTGTGAAGTTACTCCATTTGAAGAGTTGTCTGAGGAGCGAGTACAAGGCCGCCGTACCCAATTATCCAACGTGCTTGTATTTCGTAACTGCGATGACGGCGTTGCAGATGATGTCGCATGGCTTCGTCCCTGGGCTTCATCAGATCTATGTGATAACCGAGCAGAGCCTTGAGGTTGTGGAGTCGAGGATCTCCCATCGACCTGCAAAAACGCTGAGCCGGAAGCTACTGGTGATTCGATCGTATCTGGTAAGCCGCGTCAGTACCTCTATCAAGACAGAGCCACGCCTGAACTATAGGTTCACAAACTTTCTGCCAGACCATCGTCACTATCCCTCCTTATTGCCTCGCTGTCTGGCGACGTCGTGATGAGCAACTGCTGAACCTTATCAACTAAATCCTGCAGCTCTTCGTCTCGAGCTTCGAGCTGCGGAGAATTGGCTTCGCCCCTGTCAATGACCGCGTCGTAGCCATCTCCTGTATTGTCTTGTCCTTGTGATATAAGCTCGAGTTGCATTTGGGAGTCCTCGAACAACGGATTGTAGTTATCTTCGGGTGCATCATCTAAACTCGACCGTGCGGCCCGTGAATTCTCGTGATGGTTCCAGACAGGTGGATTCCACAACGTTGGTGCCGCTGTTGGGTCCGTGTCCGCCTCACCCGCACAAGTGGACTCGGCTACTACATCTTGCTCTAAAGGTGTTGGTATGTTAAGATGCGGCTCTAGGTGGAGGCCAATACCGGGGTTCGTAGTCGATGGTAGAGCAGGTGGATGGGGTTGGTAATGATACACAAACTCCGCATTCTGCGATCCAACGGTGACGCGGTGGGCATCAACAGATTGTCCGTGTTGTCGTTGGTAGTATCGTTGCGATCGCGCGCGTTGCGAGGCGAGCCGCTCCTCTTCCGTTCTTTCTGCTTCTTGGACTCGACCGAAACCGATGGAGGCGGCATGATCTCAGGGCGCGAAGGGATCTCGAGAGGATACAGCAGAACAAATTGCACGCTCATGGATTGGTAGGTTCGTCAAGTCTTTCTGTTTCTCCCTCTGCTTCCGGCGGTGTTTTGGTCATTTTCACTCTTGATCTCCCTCTACATGTCGGTGCGACGCGTATTTTTCAACCTACCTGGTAAAGG